TGGGGATGATTTGTTTCCAGATGAATAGTTTTTTATTTATGCAACACAGTTCTTTTAAGCACTGTTACATGTGGTTGGGGTATGAACTTGGGAACCAAACTGTTTTCATTTGAATCTGAGCCCCACTCACTTAATTTTTCTTTACTTCAGTTTCTCCATCTTTAAAATGGGTTACTAATAGCACCTACCTAAAAGGTTGTTCTAAGAATTAATTGAGTTAACACATAAATCTCTTAGAACTTTGTGTGGTGATTATTTCAGAAAAGCGATCCCAAGTCTGATTTTGCAGAGTCCTTTAGGTTCCTGAGCATCTTTAAAAATTATTTTAAATTTTATTTTATAAACTATTTGTTAAATAAAAGTCATTTATTCAGTTATTCAGTATTTTATAACCATCTACTAGGATCTTGCACCCTTTGCCTCATTCTCTCTTATTGAAATGGCCATCAGTTGGTGGGTTATTGGCCTGATGAGAAGTGAAGTAACATTAGAACCACTATAACTGGCTATGTTAAGGTTTTTCACCTTCAAGTATGGCTCATTGGGTATTATCTTGCAAGAAGTCCTACTTAGTAAAATTCAACTGAAGCATGGTTAAGCCACTGAATCCAGAGTTTATAATTAGAAAAAACATTCTAAAAGAGCAGAAATAATTGCTGTGTATTTTATGAGCAAAGTTATTGTTTTAAAATGCCATACTAAATTTGTTAGAGAAACATTTAAGCTAATTGGAAGAGATTGTATTTGTAAGATTTTAATTATGACCTTAAAAAAAAAAGACTCTAAAAAATCTTCATCCTATGTATGCAATTAAAAGTAATTGTTTTCCCCAGTTCCATCCTATGTGCAGGAGATTTTTGGTATTTCAAGATATTTCTAAGGTCTTTTCCTGTTGTTTAACCTTGAAATGAAAATACCTAGCTCTCTTGCAGGAAGCCATTCTTCAAGTACATCAAGTATACTCTGGGGTTCTTTTGCAGTAGATGGCAACAGGTGTCTTTTCTCCTCCACCTGCATTGAGCCTTGCCACAACTTATGGTTGTGACTGAGCTTGTTTCTTTTGTTTCTGAAGCACTCTATCAGCTACAATATTGGCATTAAGGGATTTCCCTTCTTGAGAAACACAGGCTTTGTGGGAATTAACTGCCTCGGCTCTTGTAAGACATAAACTATAGAAAACCTGGCAATTGATTCTTTCTGTTTAAAAAAAAAATCAAAAACCAAAACAAAACAAGAATAGGTTGCACACAAATTTGTTCAAGAAGCAGAATTACCTCTTTTTGAGATTTAAGTAATTATGTATGTGATCCGTGTCTCTTGGTGTTTTGAATGAGTCTAAGGAGAAAAAATGGGGAAAATATTTGTAGGTGATGTTACAACATATAAATTTGGTTTTGGGCTGGCCGAGTGGCGCGTTGTTTAAGAGCTGGCTTGGGACGCCAGAGG